TTCTCTTCTTCAAGGACTTGAATCTACCTTATAATCCACATGAAAACTGTTATGCCCATGATCAGCATCTCATGTATATGTGCTTTGAAGGTTGTTAGCACATGTACTGTGGTTGCTAAACAAAATAAAAATGCATGAATATATGCAAAAAGAAAAAACACTTTAAAATTATTAATTTTAAAGCCTGTCAATCTGTATTAACTTGGAAATGTCTCTATAGATCATATGAATGGATCTGAGGGTATTTTACTTACTCAGCACCCTTCACATGAAAAAAAACTCATTTAAATGCTGCTTTTATGTTTATGACTTTCTTTGAAATGCTGCTTTGAATTACTGGGGACAGCACAACATTTTCCTTCTAAAGAACTGATTGATTTCTACTCCTCCTACCTTTATAAAGTCGCATGAAAGCCCTGAAAAGTTTTTTTTTTAGCTATAGCATCTTTACAGGGGCTGCTAGAGTGTTGAATCAAAGTATGGCACAAAAAAAATTAGATTGGTGTTTGTTACAGCAAAAGTCTGATAACTGATAACTATATTTGTAATGCTTGTATTTAGTATATTATATATTCCTTGCTTTATTTCATTTTTTTTACAGTTATATACAGATCTATCCAGCTAGTAAAACTATTTCTGCAACTTAAGTAAAACTCACAGTATTCCATCTCATTGACAGTATTACTGGACATCTTGGTCTTCAATTATGTAAAGAATAATAGTCAGATCTGTGGGCATAGTGTATTTTTACATAACATTGAGACAGAAGCTGTCCATTTTTGTGTGTTATAGACTGCTCCCCATGGTACAAGAAATTCTAATAGCTGAACTCCAGGTTTGTGTAAAACCTTTTGCATGCAGCCCCCCTTATATTTACTTGAGCCTGATCTCGATTCATCAATGTTCAGGAGAGCAGAGGTTCTCTCAGCTCTCTCCCGCCTCATTGGCTCAGAGACAGCAGCATATCAATATCAGCCAGTGAGGAGAAAACAGGGGGCAGGGCTGATCCACGCTCTGTGTGACAATAAATACACAGAGCCTGCTTGGGAGGGAGCATGCATGAGTGCCCCATAACAAGAGGCTTGCTATGAAGGCACTCAGTGGTGGGAAGGGCCAGAAGGGCTGGTGGGAGACCTGAAGAGGATCAGGGCTGCTCTGTGCAAAGCCATTGCACAGAGCATGTATGTATAACAGGTTATTTATTTGTTTATTTATTTTTAATTTTTGATCCTTAACCACTTCAAGTCCGGACACTTTTACCCCCTTCCTGACCAGGGCAATTTTCAGCTTTCAGCGCTATCACACTTTGAATGACAATTCTGCGGTCATGCAGCACTGTACCCATATGAATTTTTTACCATTTTTTTTTGAGACAGATAAAACTTTATTTTGGTGGTATTTATTCACCGTTGGGATTTTATTTTTTTTTGCTATGTAAATGAAAATTTTGAAAAAAAAGTGCTAAATTGATTCTGTTATCTTTTTAGTAAAAGCAAAAATAAGCCAAATTAGTTTATAACCAAAAATTATAATTTTTAAACATTTTTTTTTACATTTTTGTTTTTTTTATATTATTATTTATTTTATTTTTTTATTTTTTTTACATACTATCACCCTAGCAGTACAGTGTCACCATGGTGACACTGTACTACTTTTGGGGGTGATGAAGATTTTTTTTTTTTTTATTTACACTGATTGCTTTTACACCCATATAGGATGTAAAAGCAATCATTTATCTTTCTCTCTATCTGCATTCTTGCAGCCATTGAGAAGTACTGAGTGAGCTGTGATTGGTCACAGCTTGTCACATGGTACAAGGTTGTTGTGAATGGCACTTTACCATGTGATCTCTGTGATTATTAACAGATTTCACACATATTAAGCAATGATGTCAGAACTGACATCTTGCTTACTACTTTACATGTGATCACTGATTGGCCAATCAGTGATCACATGATCGGGACCTCGTACAGAGGTCCCGTCCGACGATCGGTGTTTCACTGTGTCCGGAGGACACAGTGGACACCAGATCACGGTTCTGCGCGCTCCCGGGGAGCGCACACAAGCAGGGTGCGGGGAGGCTGTTTATAAACGGCCACCCGACCCTGCAGTGCCACCATCCGGCCGTTTATATACAACAGCCAGTCGGGAAGTGGTTAACAATCATTTTAAAGTGGTAGTAAAGGCGAATACTAACTATTCTTAAAAATGTTGTCTTCCCCCTCCTATCTTGCATACCTTATATCAAAAAGATCTGTATACTTGCCTATGTTTAATACACTCTTCCAGCCACGTAATCCTGCAGCTCTGACTCCCCTGGGTAAGGCTCCCATGGCCTAGCTATTGTCAGCTCTCCTTCCTCTCCCCTGCAGCAACCAGTCCACTGACTGATCAAAAAAAATTCCATAGCCAGCCTGAGACAGGAGATTAATTAAATAGCTTAACTTAAGTGAAAAAGGTCCTTGGTTATTTGACTGACCAGTGATATTAAACCCAGTCCTACCAGCATCGGGGCATATAGTCCTTGGTGGATAACTATATTAAAGTGGAGCACTCTATATTAAGCATTTTAGTAACCTAAATGGGGAACTAGTACTTTCATAGGAATGGGGTGCAAAGTAATACCACAAAAAAGGGCAGCACAATCCCACTGGGCAACAGAGAAAGTCACTGTGCAAATACCCCTCTGACAGCCCCACAAAGGCCCACAAAAGGTAATCCTCTTACACCAGCATCCCCCAGCAACTCCAGGCTATTCTGTCCTTGAGGATCAGGAACAGCCACCAACTCTCACTGGAACGCAGCCATGGCCTTCCCAATGATCACAGTTACAAGTCTCTCAGTGGATCATCCACAGTCTCTCACCTGATACAACATGTGGCACATTGGTCTCCAGCAGCAGACTCTCAGCAGCCCTGCACATTGGCTTCCAGCTAAGCTGAGTCCAGTCTAAATGACCAATGGCAGCCTCCTACACACAGGCTCCCAGCATTTACCATCCCCTTGCAGGCAATGCAACACAGAATCCAGCAGTGGCCACAGCAGTGTGCAGAAAGTATATCTCTGACCCCTGTAGCTGTCCCCAGACTCACTCCAAGCATGTGATTTCTTTCTCCATGTCCTGCACCTATCCCTTCCCCTGGCACTCTGAGAGATGTAGTCCTCCTTTGATTCAGGCTAAGACTGTGTCCCTCTCAGGGACTACACAACCCCAGCAGCCCCTGTGACTCTCTGAGTTTGGTAGGTGATGCTTTAGCTGCAGGGCAGGCCAGTGGCAGTCATCCCCTTTCCAGGTTCTCCTCTTGCTGCTGCACAGTCCAATGAGGGTAAGGGAGGTGAAAAACACAACAGCAGTGTGGATGACTACCTTAAAAACCTGGGCCATAAAGCAGCAGCCCCTTTAAAGGGCCACTGGCCTGGGCTTCACATATACATTAGTTTTGAATAGAATATGTAAGAGTTATTTTTTGACCTGCCCATTTATTTTTTGTTGCCTGTGAACTGTTTGAAAGATTTCTTTTCAATTCCTAGTCTGGAAGTCTTTAAAAAGTGAGGGGAATTACTCTTTTACACAGCTGTCACTGAAGCAGGGCCATTGGAAGACTTCCCCTCAACTTTTGTTCTGGTGACCACTCAGGTGGAGGAAGAGGTGAATATGAATTAATTCTTGCAGGAGGCATTTTGTTTTCCATTTACATTGTTCTAATATTTTGCCATGGGTTAGTGCACCCATGACAATGCACACTATGCAGCAAGTTAATGTGTTTTGTGTTAGGGTAGCCCAATCATTTTAGTTGGTATATGAATGCAATGTACAGCATATTTTAATGGACATATACTCTTTATTAAATTGCAGTACACAATATTCACAGATGGTTCATATCTGCCAGTGATTCTAATTTTTTTTTCAGGAAAAGTGCAGTGTGCATCAAAACAGTAAGATTGCTAAAGTTTTTAAAAATAGTAACATTCAGACAGGAAATTTCAGATGAAAAGGGTAAGTGTACTCAGGATAATAGGGAAGGTGGCCATTTTGTTGGAAGTCAGAGAAGGATACTTACTGGTTGAATTAGGTGGCCGAACCTTTAACCCCACCCAATGGTGCTCAGGGAAGAGGAACAAAAAAAACTGGAGATCCATAAGGCAAGATTCAGAGTTCCTCTTGTAAGGAAAGACTGTGCTGTGGAGGCAGCTGCTGCAGAGAAAAAGAGAAAACTGGGCTGCTGTACATTATTAAGTTTTGCAAGAAGAAGCAAGAACCCCAGAGAGCCTGCTGAGGATGCCATAGAGGAGAAAGAATAGGCTTGAAATGAGCACCTTTGAATGTGGCATGACCTCTTTGCTCGCCATTGGGGAGGACATGTGGGCTGATGACTGCCTTTCATAAGACACCAGCACCGGTGGTGAGAGGTCACTAGCTACCCTTATACAGTTCTGTCTTATTGCGTTTGCAAGGTTTTAACTGCTGCCTACACACACCCCATTAGTGTGAATTACAAATACTTTCCCCTGACAGTGAGTGATGTTGCAAACGTTAGGGGTCCCACCGGTGGCATACTTACTGTTTATCTATAATTCCACTGACCAGTGCTTTAGTTAGGGCCTTAAAACTGTAGATGGGCTATACCATTGACTATCTCCTTCAGAGCTTTCATTAGAGCCACACTTTTGAATGCATCGTTACTTATTTTGTATTGATACTGCTATACTGCTATACTATCAGTTTAACCATGCTATTGCTGCTATTGTTTAAAACCTCTTGCCGACCGCGCATAGCCGAATGACGGCTTCACCGCGGCCGGCCAGTTCTGAGTGGACGTCATATGACGTCCTCCCAGAACGCGCTCTCCTGCGCGCCCCAGGGGGCGCGCACCCGGCGATCTCCGTGATCGCTGTGTCCTACGGACACAGCTGATCACGTGATGTGGTGAAAGGCCGATCCCACCGGCCTTTTACCACGTGATCAGCGGTGTCCAATGACACGCTGATCACAGGGAAATGCAAGTGCCGGTTCTCGGCTGCACTTTCCTCACGCTGTCAGATCGTGAGGAAAGTACTGCCGAGAACCGGCAGTTGTCAGAGCGGGGATCGGCACCGATCATCAGGGCACTGATGATCAGTGCCCTGATGATCGGTGCCCAGCGGTGACACCCGCAAGTTCCGCCCAGCAGTGCGCCCACTAGCCCCGCCCCCACCCGAACCCAGCAGTGTCCCCACCTGTGCCCAGCAGTGCCCCCACCTGTGCCCAGCAGTGCACCCACCTGTGCCACTCTGCAGTGCCACCTACCTGTGCCCAGAAGTGCCACCTACATGTGCCCAGCAGTGCCACCCACCTGTGTCCACCCACCTGTGCCCACCAGTGCCACCCACCTGTGCCCACCAGTGCCACCCACCCGTGCCCACCCACCAGTGCTGCCCACCAGTGCCACCCACCAGTGCAGCCCAGCAGTGCTGCCAGTCAGTGCCACCAGTCAGTGCCCAGGGGTTGTGCCAGTCAGTGCCGCCAGTCAGTGCCCAGAAGTGATGCCAGTCAGTGCCGTCTATCAGTACCCATCATCAGTGTCACCTATCAGTGCCGCCTATCAGTACTGCATATCAGTGCCGCCTATTCGTGACCCCTAATTAGTGCTGTCTATCAGTGCCGCCTATCCGTGCCACCTCATTAGTATTGCCTATCAGTGCCCTTTAGTGCTGCCTATCAGTGCCCATCAGTGCCGCCTATCAGTGCCCATCAGTGCCGCCTCATCAACGCAAATCAGTGAAGGAGAAAAAATACCTGTTTGAAAAATTTTATAAAAGATACAAATAAACTTTTTTTTTTTTTTTTTAAATCAAAACAAATTTTTTTGCACTTTTTTTAATTTATAGCGCCAATAGTAAAGCGCCCAGTGGCGATTAAATACCACCAAAAGAAAGCTCTATTTGTGAGAAAAAAATGATCAAAATTTTATATGGGTACAATGTTGCATGACCGCGCAATTGTCAATCAAAGTGCGGCAGCGCTGAAAGCTGAAAATTGGCCTGGTAAGGAAGGGGGTATAAGTGCCTGGTAGGCAAGTGGTTAAACTAAACTTCCCTTACAGGGCCTTCTTCCCCTTTTCAATAAAGCCAACTTGATAATACTGTTGTTTCAGTGAGTTTGGGGTCCAGTTAGGGTGGGTCACCCTCGGGATGGGCAGAAAATCCAAAACACCTCAGCAGGGGCGCACTGACCATTTGGAAACTTGGGCACTGCCCGAGGGCCCGGGGTCAGTAGGGGGCCCCATGAGATGCCCCTGGTACCTTTTTCATAGGCTTTTTTGAGTTTGGGCAAGGACACAGGGGCCCCATGATCCCCTATTGCCCGGGGGCCCCATGAGTTGTCAGTCCGCCCCTGCACCTCAGCATCTCTTTCTTGAGTCAGAGCCACACAGTCATTTAGTATTTATTATTCTGGACCCATACATCTCTTTATGCTTGTGTTAGGGCAGCTGGTGTGTGGAATTAGGTTAGGTGATTTAAATTCTTTCAATAAATCTTTAAAGCCTTTGGCACAAACTGCACACAGATAAACTTGACTTTATAATAGCTAAAATGTGTGGAAAGTTTTATAAGTCAGCAATCTTTGCTGACCACATATATTTACGGTTGCTCATCCAATTTTTCACTGCCAAAATTAGAAATTATTTTTCCTGTAATATAGTTCCCTAGTCGTTACTGTTCTTTATGGTTAAAGTGGCAATAAATAATTGTTTTCTATTGTACAATTGTAAATAATCTGGGATCATTGTTTGAGGTTCTTCATCAAAATAAAAAATTCAAGGCTTTTCAGACTATAAGAGCATATAAATAGAAAATGTAGCATTCTTTAAAGTGTCCTATTTATCTTTAAAGAAAATTCCTCTATGCACAACTAAAAATAAATCACAGAGGCTGATGTATGAATGATGGGTGAACGGCAAATACAAGTATAGGGATCCCTGTCATTAGATTTTTGCCATTGTTCTAGCCTGCCAAAACAGTATGTGGTATCCTATACAGAAGAGAAAAAATCTGTCAATCTTATTTTGCATTTTATCCAATTATCAGTAGATTCTAAATGTAGTACAAACATGTGATCTCATCTTGGGAACAAAGTTATTAACTATTGAAGCTGAAAACTGTGCAAGAAATAAAGTACAACAGTTATAAATACAAAAATTCTAATGAAACATTGTGCCTGTAGTGCCCATTGGCAGTCCTACCTCCCTGCATTGTTCCTTTCCCTGCCATTCATAGCACAGGGAGAGAGTAGACCACAGAGGAGGCTGCTGATTGGCCTTCGCTGTGGTTCAGAATTTAAACCCATGCCGAGAAACTAGGTAAAGGGGAATGCTATTTGCTGGTGATCTCACCTTGGAGGGATAAAAATAAAGAGACAGAGTAGCCAGGGAAAACAAGGGCAGCTACCAGGGACTTTGTGACTGAGATCACAAAGTTGTAGTGCTGCATCTTGGGTTGAGTGTGCTAAAGAACCACAGGTCATGTGTTGCTGTTATTGCTGCAGTGCTATGTTGCCTGCTGTGTGCCATCCTGAAACTCTACTACTATTCCAGTGACTGGGCTATTGTTTCAAAGTTACTACTGTTTTATCATTGCTATTGTTCTAGAGGACACTTTGAGATCTTCGTGGGTGGTGATACCCTAAAGTGTTTTAAGTTACTATTGTTGCAAGTGTTGCTAGCTACTAAGGAGTTTCTGCCATTAGGAGATTGTAAAGTATATCTGGTACTCTGTAGATTACAAATCTCCCATTTGGGGAGACAACGCTCTACCATGAGTAAAAATAAAGGATGCCAATACCAACAGGAGTAAGTAATAAATATTCTCAGGAACTGGACTCACATGTAGAGTCTTTGACATTTGTGCCTTTATCTGACCGTTAACTGTGCTAGTAGTTAAGATAGTTTTAATACAGTATACTTGAAATTGCTCTTTATCTGTCTGTGTTATATTGCCAATGTACATCCATATAGTACTTACTTTTCTTTTTACTACTTTTATAGCCCATTTTAAAAGTTTCAGGTGTGTTGGTACAGGGCAGGTCATCACTGGAGCAGGACAGAAGGCCACAGTACAATCAGCGGTACCTCTGAAGTATTGCTTATCATTGTCAGCCAAAGCTGAATTTGCTGAAATATTAGAGAGAGCCAGTCCTAGTTGGGGATGCAGTGCACTTTGTTTTAATAAAATTTGATGTGATATAACATCATCAGTGTGTGATTTCCTACTCTCTTGTTGAGTTCGTGGAGCATGGTTGGGTTCCCTTTTGTCAGCACCTGGAGTTCCAGAGGCAGGCTTTTCATTTCAGGTAAACAGCTAATTACATACAGTATACCAATGAAATACAGTACTGAACTTGAATTGGTTAAAAGAAGGTCTTTGGCTCATGGCTGCAGCTGCCACATACTTTGTGATCTGCTTTCCGAGATATATGTTATATATAGTTACATAGTTAGTCTGGCTGAAAAAAGACAAAAGTCCGTCCAGTTCAACCCCCCCCAAAAAAAAGTTACAATCCTACACCCACAGCTGATCCAGAGAAAGGCAAAAAACCCAGCAAAGCATTATCCAATTTGCTCCTGCATGGGAAAAAAATCCTTCCTGATCCCCCAAGAGGCAATCAGAAATTCCATGGATCAACTTTACCTATAAATGTTAGTAACCAGTTACTGTATATTCTATGTATCCAAGAAAGAATCCAGGCCTTTTTTAAAGCAATCCACTGAGGGGGGCCAGAACCAACTCTTGAGGGAGTCTATTCCACATTTTCACAGCTCTTACTGTGAAGAAATGTTTCCGTATTTGGAGATTAAATTTCTTTTCCTCCAGACGTAGAGTGCCCCCTTGTCCTCTGTTATGACTTCAAGGTAAATAACTCTCCACCGAGTTCATTATATGAACCACTGATGTATTTATACATGTTGATAATTTCCCCCATTAATCTCCTCTTCTCAAGAGAGAATACATTTACTTCCGCTAATCTTTCCTCTTCCATGCCTCTTATTAGTTTGGTTGCCCTTCTCTGTACTTTCTCCAGTTTCCCAATATTCGTTTTTCTGAATTAGTGCCCAAAATTGAACTTTATATTCTAGATGAGATGTCTGTGAGTATATCTGCTTTCTAATACACAAACAAACTGGTCTATCAGTAATATAGATTGTTTTATTTTCACAACACTTTTTCTAAAGAGAAGCAATATTAGCTGGTGAGTGGCTGTCCAATTGAATTGGTGGAGGAACACTTGGATGTGGAATCTACACTGAATTTTAAGGCACTTGCATGTTTTATTGAAGTGATAACATTTTTCACACTGCTTAACACACTTTGTGATCTGCTTTGCACGATACATTATATTACCAAAAGTATTGGGATGCCTGCCTTTACACTCACACAAAGTTTATAAGGCATCCCAGTCAAAGTTTAAAGGCATCCCAGTCTTAGTCTGTAGGGTTCATTATTGAGTTGGCCCATCATTTGCTGCTATAACAGCTTCAACTCTTCTGGGAAGGTTGTCCACAAGGGGTTTAGGAGTATGTCAATGGGAATGTTTGACCATTCTTCTAGAAGCACATTTGTGAGGTCAGGCATTGATGTCGGATGAGAAGGCCTGGCTTGCAGTATCCGCTCTAATTTATCCCAAAAGTGTTCTATCGGGTTGAGGTCTAGACTCTGTGAACACCAGTCATGTTCCTCCACCTCAAACTCGGTCATCCATGTGTTTATGGACTTGCTTTGTACACTGGTGCGCAGTCAAGTTGGAACAGCAAAGAGCCATCCCCAAACTGTTCCCACAAAGTTGGGAGCATGAAATTGTTCAAAATGTCTTGGTATGCTGACGCCTTAAGAGTTCCCTTCACTTGAACTAAAGGGCCAAGCCCAACACCTGAAAAACAACCCCACACCATAATCCCTCCTCCACCAAACTTTACACTTGGCACAATGCAGTCAGGCAAGTATCGTTCTCCTGGCAGCCGCCTAACCCAGACACGTCCATCGGATTGCCAGACAGAGAAGCATGATTTGTCACTCCAGAGAACAAATCTCCACTGCTCTAGAGTCCAGTGGTGGCATGCTGAACACCACTGCATCTGACGCTTTGCATTGCACTTGGTGATGTAAGGCTGGGAAGCAGCTGCTCAGCCATTGAAACCCATTCCATAAAGATCTCTATGCACCATTGTTGTGCTAATCTTAAGGCCACACAAAGTTTGGAGGTCTTTAGCTATTGACTCTGCAGATGGTTGGCAACTTCTGCTCACTGTGCTCTTCAGTGAGCTGACCCTGCTCAGTCATTTTATGTGGCCTACCACTTCGTGGTTGACTTTCTGTTGTTCTCAGTTGCTTCCACTTGGTTATAATACCACTAACAGTTGACCGTGAAATAGTTAGTAGCAAGGATGGATGGACTTATTGCACAGGTGGCAAACTATCAAGGTACCACACTTGAATTCACT